TTCCATCTGTTTTTAAATCATCTATCAATATTTCCACACCAGGATGAAATCTGGGCTTTTTAAAAATGCAAGTGTAAGAGAAAACAGGTGTTTCCATCCCTACATGCCACGTGCGGAGCTGTCTTATTGCCACTACAAGGCAATAAGAATTCATTAGCATATTTGATAGCCAACTGGAAGGGCAGGACTGCTCGGATAAGGACAAGTTCAAACAGTCCCTAGATGTAAATGGAAAAACACTTTCTGCAGCCTAGTTTACTGCTTCTGGCTGCAGGTGATGGGGGAGGTTTTCAATATCCAAGTGCTTCTCTTTGGCATGGGAAGACTCTTTACAGAAACAAAAACAGCATATCAAGGAAAAATATGGGCAAAATGTCCCTAGCAAACAACGGTGTTCTTTTACAAAGGAAGTGGGGAACCATGGCTCTCTAGCTGCTTCTGGCCATCAACTTCCAGCATCCTTATCCAGCCCACCATTTTCAGAGCAAAATATCTGGGGGCGGGGGCAGGGCATGATTGCCCACCTCTGTTTCATACCATCTCAATGCCTTCATTGTGGCGCTCAATGCCTAGAAGTTTTCTATCACCTGCCATTGACTTTCAGCTGTGGGAACCATGCTGAAACTTAGCCTCCATGAAGCTGAAATGGACTAGTTTTTGGCACAATATTGTGAAGACAGCTTTTAAAATACATTGATTGAGATCACTGATAACAGTACATGAGAAACTCAAAAGCACGACAGCATGAAAACAGTATCAACAGCCACAAAGCTACAGCTGAAAGTTGGCATGGATCCATTCAAATCTCTAGCAATTATGGGCAGGAGGTGTTGAAATAGTCTTCCAGAGGCCAGTTGTCCCATTATGCCTAATTCTAACCAAGTGACATGCAGACATGGCCTAAATGAAGTCTCCTAAACTTTTTAAAATAAAGCAAAATTCTTAATACTATCTGCCATTATAAAAACAGCCACACCACACTGGTATTATTCATACCATATTATATAAACAGTCATATGATACCGCTATTCTTAGTGCCACTATATTACTAATAACCACATAGTAAGAATAATATACTACTGCTATTACTACAACCACAGCCCCTTCCCTGGTGACTAACAATAAAAGTATGCAGACAATAAGACAGAAGGGAATTCCAGTTTCCTGACTTGCTTCAAAAGAGTGTATGATACCAGCAAACGTTTAATAGAGAGCATACCACATACTTCCTCTGAAGATTATACTTACAAAATAAGAACTGGGCAAGTAAGATTCTATTGAATCAAGCAAATCTGGGCTATGATCTCCTCCTTGCTTTGATGTACTTCCTTACAGATGAGAGAATGGTAAGCAAAATTGCATGATCTCAGAACTGTCCTCTCATAATCTGCTCGTTAACCTATTAATTTACTGAATGCCTGTAAGTCTCGAAGTGTCTCAGTTGGCCGATAAGTTTCAAAGTATAGCCTATAAGCCATTTTGCCTTTAAATCTTGGTGGTTTTAAAGTCCTTGGCCCTTCAGGACATTTAGGATATAAGAATACTCCTCCTCCTTTTAAACACTGCAGGGAAGGCAATACAATAAATCCTAGAGGCACACTGAAGAAGGAGCTGGGGTTTCCTATAAAATCTGGTTGACTGATGGAATGAATGCATCATTCTACGTAAATCATGAGTATAGGTCAACCTATTCCAAGGAAAATGAAAAAATATCAGAGAAGCTTTTGTTTACCTAGGATCTGATCCCACAAGGAATGCCTAAGTAGAAATAGCATAAGCAGGCCCAGAAAATACCACCACCAGCACACAAAATGACAGCTTGGAAAAGTTACTTGTTTGACCTGCCAGCAATCATGCTCACCAGGAGCTCTGAGACTTATAGTCCAAAATTAACTTTTATAAACTCTTGTTTTAAAAAAGCTGTAAGCACACATTCTTGCATTCACAAAGAATAAAGGTACCACCACAAAGAACAGGAGACCCACAGACAGTGTAGGTTAACACACTCAAGATCAAGAATGACTTTTCCTAATTCCAAAATACTAGTACAACATTTATCATAATACACATAGCACACTTTGTTGTCTGAGACTTGTGACCAAGTTAAAAAATTGTGTAAAACCTTAGCGTATAAGCAACATTCATATATGCCATTTATGAATTCATGAACAATATGGGATGCTAAAGCAGTAGTTCAGTTTGAAGAATTGAGCACTGAGGAGAAAGTGTCTATGACCTAGTTGGAAAGAGTGTCTGGAGTACAGTGGAACCTCTACAAGTTATGAACAGCACCGTTCGCAAAAGTTTGCCTCTACTTGCGAATAGAGCTTCAAGATACGAATGGGGGGAAAAACTGTGGCGGAGGTGGGGAAAGCACAGAATTTGAACTTTCAGTTGACCGTTGGCCAGTGAAGAGGGTGCTTGTCTGCTACCTCGCTCGTCCAAGAAGTTATCAAGTGGATAGGGAGAGAGTCTTCAGACAGCCTGGTATTGCTTGGTACTGTACTGTATGGACTGGGGTGGTTTTTTGGGGTTTTTTTTTAATTTTTAATTTTTGATTTTTGACTTTCTTTTTTTTAAAAAAAAAGAGAGAGACTGCCTGTTCTGGGTGGGTACACTGTATTTACTGTACTGTACAGGGTTTTTTGCAGCTTGGTGAGGGGGTAGGGCTAGGTGGGGGGGCTATGCCTCTGTGTTCTGATGGGTCTTGCAGTGTGGATTTAAAATGTGAAAAGTAGACTGTAATATTAAATTAAAATTAAATGTGAAAGACTGTACAGTAATTTTAAAATGTAAAATTTATTCATTTATTTTTGCAATCTGTGGCTTCTAGGGTTTGTGTACTATGACCTCTCTGTTGTTTTAAAATGTGTGGGTTTAAAATGTGACTCCAAAGTCTTCTGGGGGGAATCTGTTTGCTGTAATAATGGTTGCTGGTTGTTGATGCAGGCAGGCTAGTTTTAAAATGGAGTTTAAAATGGAGTTTTAAAATGGAGTCTACTGTAGACTCAAGGCTCCCCCCCCCACACCCATTGTTTATTCTCTCTCTCCTTCTATGCTCTCTTTTTGTGAAGAGGAGTTCTATGCTGGAATGGTTGCTGATTGTTGGTGCAAGCAGGCTGTAAAATGCAGTTTAGACTCAAGTCTCTACCCCCCCCCATGCTCTCTTTTTGTGATGAGGGACTTGAATAATGGTTGCTGGATTCTGTGCCTTTTAGGGTTTGTGTACTGTGGTGTGCTGAACAGTACATAGTCATGGCCAGAAATCATCGTGATTTCCTCAAGAAGACACCGAAAGCTAAGTAACCTCTCTTTTGTTTTAAAAAGTGTTGGTGGGTGGGTTTAAAAGTTGCTTGTTTCATGTTAAAATGTGTTTTGTTTAAAAGTTGCTTGGTTTAAAAATGTTGTTGTTTAAATGTTTTGGTTAAAATGTGTTTTAGCCTCCAAGCTCTCTTCCCCCCCACTGTCTTCTCTTTTTGTGCTTAAAAGCACAAACCTTTGTCTGAGGGTTCTGTGTGCCCCAGTGATGACCCTTCCTTCCTTCCTTCCTTCCTTCCTTCCTTCCTTCCTTCCTTCCTTCC